GTTCAGATCTTACATCATTTATTTGTACAAACTGTTTCCTATTTTTTCAAATAGCTAGATACCCACTGTAGTGCTGGTCCTCTATTTATTTAGCTTTTCAAGAAGAATACTGTAGTCAGTGGTGTCAAAGGCTCTCTTTAAATCCACATAAATACCAGCACAGTATTGTTTTTGATCAAAAGCTGTTATTTGTTCTATCAGTTACATGAGCACCATTGATGTCAAATTATTTGTTCTAAACCCATAACTGACTACTACTTAGAATGTTTTGTTTGCCAATAAATTTATCTAATCTGTTCACAAATAATTTCTCCAAAATCTTTGAAAACTGTGGTACCAAGGATATTTGTCAGTAATTGTTAAACATACATTTCTCACCATTCTTATAAAGAGGGACCTTAACTATCTTCATGTTGTCTGGAAATACACCAGTTGAAAAAGATAAATTACAAAYACATGTAAATGGCTCAATAACATAACCCATTATTTCCTTCACAAACATCATGTCCATGTCCACACAATCTTTTAATCTTTCATCTGCAAGATTTTTTTTACAATATTCATTATTTCTTCATGTCAATTCCATCAAGAAATTAGTCTGCTGTCGAATTTAATATTATAAAAAACTTTGCATTGCTCAACAAAACACAATTGAAGACCAACATCCTCAAACAAATACAGCAATAATTTGCTGCAAATCACAATATGATAAATTGTGACGATATATTGCGATCCTCTAAGCAAGGTGATATTTCGCCCTTTTTTTCTACAAAAAGCTCAGGATAAAAAGCACAATTTGAAAAAAMCTGTTTAATTTTATGCAATCAGAAGAACAGAAGAACACTGAATAACTGAGAACYGCATTTTACATTTACATTCATCCATGAAGMCTTAATTAAAAAYRGATACATTATCAGGAAATGACATATCACAACATTTCAGTGTATCAATGTGTTCGTACACCCCTAACAAATAAGGGACTTCATAATGGTAGCAGAAAAACTGATCTGGAACTACAAAGGGACTACAAGATGCTGGTATCCAAAGGAAACAAAACTGATAGAGAAAAGATTTGCYTCTTAGGTTTCTACATGTAAATCAGAAAGTTTAGTGTCTGTAGGTTCTATCTCTTTTGTAAATAATTCTAGGAACAACATCTATAAATAAATAAATAAATAAATAAATAAATAAATAAATAAATAAATAAATAAATAAATAAATAAATAAATAAATAAATAAATAATACTTGCTTTCATTTGTCAGTCCAAGATATTTTTGCTGTGCTGTCCCATTTTAATCAACATCTTATCTAAAACGAATTTTTAATTAAGTCTTACCTTCACATTTTGTGACTGCCAGCATTTGAAAAACACCGAAAAATTACAGTATTTCATAAAAAAGAAGGAAGCGAACCGTTTCAATTCTCCTTTCTTCTCTTCACCCATAAAAAAGGAAAATGAAACCTCAAAAATGAATAAAGTCACTAAGAATCTAATAAGTTATCAGTGAAGAAACACTAGTTTTGACTCTGTCTCATTMAGTACTTCTTCCTCCTACTGTTTTCCTCCATTTAAGCGAGTGTGTGTTGTTTCTGTGCATGCGTGTCAGTGTTTGATGCTCTTACAATGGGTGGTCTCTGGAGTAACTGTGTGGCTGTCTTGTCACAATCCCAATGGTTTGCCAGTCTTCCTCCGGGTGAAAGACCCCCTTCCTTCCTCGCTTCCTGTTCCGATTGTCTGCTGAGAGGCTTGTTCTGCTCCGTGCCAGCCCCTCTGCCTCTGTTCGCTCGCTGTAGTCTCACCGGCTCTTTGCAGGCAAATGCTTTGACATTGAACCAACTGTTGAGACCTCCTGCACACTGTTGCACCTCCCTTCATGCCACAGCATATGTTAAAATCAGTCAAAAGAAAATTAAAAGAAGAAGAAGAAGAGGAAGCGGACATTTAAAGTGAACTACTGATGTTTTCAGTTCCCCTTCAGTTGAACCAGTAAAGAAAAATAATTTTTACATAAAAAAGTTTAAAAATTAATTTTAGATTTAACAATTAATTTAGTTTATTTTAATGGAATACTTTTTTTCAGTTTTATTAAACCTTTGATACAAGATTTCCGAGAAATCATCATCCGTTTTGTTTTTAAGAGTCCCTTTTGTGTCCTCCTAAAAAACACTCAGATATGACTTCCTGTGAGACTTTTGTTGGATCTGAGCCAGGAAAGAGGATGGAAATACAGGAAAACATGTCAGAGAAATGGCATGCATATGTTTACTACAGCGTTCACACAAGTACTGTTGTTTAGTCAGAATTGGCTTTATTGTGAATGACAGTTACTTTTTTCAAAATCTGCACAGACTTTGAGATTTACATCAGATTACATAACTTTCAGAAAGATAAAATAACTGACCAGCTGTCAAGCATGCAATGTTTATTGGTTTTATTTTTCAAATGAATGCTTTAAAATACATTTTTGTACATAAAAAAAATCAAATTAGCAACATGAATCAATGCGGCAAGATTAATGTACACAGTTATTTCTTTTCATTTTTACATGATAAACCATAAACGGTTACCATATTATTTACTGGAGCAGATTGAGATATTGCACATTTGCAGATTATAGGACCTGATCTATTTTGTCACTGACCAAAAATATCAAGACTTCCCTATGAAATGCACACATTAGTTTCATTTCAAGTGTGCTTGTCATCTTTACGTTCCATAAAAAACAAAACTTAAAGAAATAGTTCAGATGTTTCGAAGTGYGGTATGTATAGATTTTGCATTGTAGAGGCGGGGGCGGCTACCAAGGCATGTACAGGATAGGGTTGTTCGATACTGGCAACAAAATAAAGCACAAATAATTCTGACATTTAGTCGATGATTAATAGAWGAAATTTGCACTTGCATGTTTTTTGTCTCTAAATCAGTCACCCAGTGTTCTAAAATTATACTTACAAATMATCAGTTCTTCATTTTAACAGTCAAGGTCCACCCAGCAATATCTTCTTCCAGCTTTACTTTGCTGTTCGTAAGGGGACAGAGTGACAGAGTCCTGGATTCTCAGGAAATGTCGGGTTCACACAGCAGGATAATTGTGCCAATTTTTGCCCTTCCCTTTGCTCACATTACTGTGATGGCTCTAGTTAAGAGTAATACAGTCTTGGAAGGACTTTGGGACTGCTTCGATCTCAAATCGGGGATATTCAATATCACAGTGTGTAAGGAGCTCGCAGGCTGTTGAATGTGACGTGTAGCCAGTCAGAAAAYGAGGTAACATGAAAACATGGAGGGGATTCCAAAATACAGAAGACATAAAAAAAAACTGTCATGACTCACCAGAAAGCCCGCTGGATGTTAAAAATCATTTAGAAGTTATTTTCTCTGTTAACAATAGCCCACAAATGATCAACATTGTTCAGTCCTGATCTCAAATGTTTATTTACTCAGAACTCACGTCTGATCTCTGGGAGTCACGTGACAGTTTTTCTCTGATATCTGAATTCTCACGAGAAGTCTTGTGTGATTTCTTGCAGACATCTGAATGTTTATGAATGAAATCTGTCCGTGTGTGGTGTGTTGTTTCTTGCCGTGTGGCTGTACACCACACAATGTTGGACCAAACCTGGTATATCCATGTTTTGTTATTCTCACGAAGTGTCGCTCAGTCTTTAAAAATCGGCCAAGTGTTTTAAAATCTTGCAGTGTGACCCAGCCTTGAGTCATTTCTTTCCACCATTTGCTGGAGGAGAGTTTGTTGTAGACGACACTAAGAACTTTGTCTGCATTTTCTGGCTTTCCTTGTACTCTGGTTATGGCAGTGTTTTCAAGTGTTTAAACAAATTTGTAGGGTTAGGGTTAGGTGCTCCACGCCTTCCTCCACGATTGGGGTCAAATGTGTCCTTCATAGTGCATCACACACGAAAATCATGTGGCACAAACTGCAGTAATTGCAAAGAGACAATTATTAATTGTTGACAGATTTTATGATGATTAATTTCACAAAATTCGATCTTACCCAAACCTAGTACAGAGCATGCTGAGGCGGGTAAGCTGTGCGCAAAGACAGGTAACAACATAATATGCATGGCCTAAAACAAAGTTGCAAAAGCCATGCACACAGAAATAAGCCATGCTTTTAAAAAAATGTCCACTCAAAACTCAACCATATGGCACGCAGGTCACTTCATTACAACACTCAGGTTTCAGTGAAATTGCAACAGAAAATTCGCAATTTTTTTTTCACAAAATTCCCGTTTTTGAGTCGGCAACTATCTCCAAGAGTCGCAGCCCCATAAGATACTCTTGTTTCTCCAAACTGAACATGCCTAAAGAACTATTTACAAAAGGTAAGACAATCGTTCATAAATCTTCCACAGAGCTTCACTTTAAATGGTCAAAATCATTGTAGTCTTTTTGTTCCAATTATTTCATACCCCGCAACCCTGAAAAGGAAGAAGCGTGTACAGAAAATGAATGGATGGATGGATGGATGGATGGATGGATGGATGGATGGATATTTCATACCCGTTCCCAAACCTTCAAAAAAGACAGCAGTAAAATGTTCAGTGGGAAAAAGGAATTCTTAACTTAGTACCTGTGGTACCTTTAAGGGAAATAATCAAACTTTTCATCATTGACATCAGTTTCTCCTTAAACTCCCTACAAAGAAAGACGTAGAGAAGCGGGTCCATGCAGATGTTTGTTGTGGCGAGCCAGTGGCTGAGTTCCTTGGCAAATCTGATACGTTCATAGGCGTTAGAGCACTGGGTATCAGAATARCTGACTTGTTGAAAAGTGTATGGAATTCTTATAATGTGGTACGGACCAAAACACACAAAAAACACAATTATAACCAAGAAAACGCGTAGTTTGATTTTCTGCTTTCCCTGGCTGTTGTTGCTACCGGACTTTCTGTAGGACTGGATCACTTTGTTTGCGATGCAGATGTAGCAAACCACAATGATCACGCTGACAAGCCAAAAGAAAACGTTCAGAGCAAGCGAGGATTTTTCGTGGAACGCTATTCCTGCAGGCCCTTTCAGAATTGTGCATGGACTGCTTTCTGTCATGTTCTCGGCAGGCTTGTTAGTTAAGAGGATATTTGGTAGACCTGTCCCTCCAAACATCAACACCCAGACTGCACCTGACATCACTTTGCTGAAGGTCAAACTCTGGCCAAAAAATGTGCTGCGGGGCATCATGATCTTAAAGAARCGGTCCAAACTGATGCAGCACAACAGGGCAATGCAGGTGTACTGTGCRTTGTAGAAAATGACAGAAAAAAAACGGCATGTGGGAACAGCGAACTGCTGCCATGCACCCGGCAGGCTGGCTCCAGCTTTGACTGGGATCATTAAGGTCATAATGATGTCAGCAGCTACAAGATTTTTCAGGTACACCACAAATGTGGAMGTGGCCTTCAGGTGCAGAGACACCCATGCTGCCACAACATTTAGCAGCAAGGCTAATGGAAACATCAGAAAGTAGAGAGACGGGATTATATAAGGATTATGCKCTAAACTGGAACAACCAGAAAGGTTCTGAGATATTTGGAGCGATGGATCCATTACATCTAAGGACAAAAAAGGGACAAATTAGAATCCAAACTACAGTTTAAACACATAATAATTATACAGTTTAAAAATGTTTTTCTACAAATTGTGCAATATCTTAAAATTTTGGTATGAATTGTTAAAGTCTGTCTTTTTGCAAGACGTCACAGGATGTACATCTAAAACTCACTAACATTTGGAGTCAGCCACATTCAAGAGGCTACAGCTAATTGAACTTAGCTGACATAAAAATGACTTTACCTCCTTTGTTTCTAAATTTACTGAGCTACATTTGGACTGGTAGTAGCTGAGAGTCATGGGAATCTTGTGACATCTCACAACATATGAGAATAGCTTTCACAAGGTTTGACCAWATTAGCTATAACTTTGATTTTAGTGTTAATTTGTGACATRAAAGATGTTGGGAAACATGCATTCCTTCAATGATCTCTGGACCTTTAGTTCATTTATTCTTTTTACATGTTTCTGTGTGTGTAGCGTCTTTGTGTTCGCTACTCACCCTGATTAAAGTATGGCTCTGAGTAATCATCCATCAACCTTTATTTTCTCAGTTTGACTTCCAGGCTGGGGGAAAAAAGTACATTTTTAGGCAGAATCTTTAAGCTGAATTTTCTTTTCACAACTGCACTTGTATAACTTTAATTGAAGCTTCCATTTTGTAGACCCTACCACAACAAGACAGAAACGTGAATACAAGAAAGTACAAACTCAGAATTCAGCACCATTTTGGAAGAATTCTCACCGAAATTCCTGAGCAAGTTTAAAGTGTTAAATCTAAATATTTTGGTTTATTATTTTGCAGAAATCCATAAAACCACATTTTGAGATCAAATTACAGTTCAGTATTCCTGTTACCTGATGCACTAAACTAGTTAGGCCTGATWCTGTATACTTTAAAAATGTTACTGTTAAGTTATTAGCACTTAGATTATACTGTATATAATCTATTTCTGAAACCCCAGTTAAAATATAAATAGGATGTTAATCTTCTACAATAAAATAAAATAAAAAACAAATTAATTAAAATCTGTCATCTTAGAACTGAAATCCTTCTGATTGGACCTCCACATACAGTAGCTACAGTGCATTCTCACAGGAAACTTTGATGCATTTTATCTTGCAGGCTGCATCAGAGTTCTGCTGCCTGATGTTTGTTAACGAATGTGATGGAAATGTTGTGGTGAGGGCAGTCATTGTGATTCATCTGCACTTCATGCCCCATATACTGAAAATGGCACGCTGCTTTGCGTACACACCGCATCTGTGCAACAAAAACTATAATGGCATGTTTAGATCCACGATCCAAAGAGAAACAATGTAGTATTTTGTCTGCAGAACTGAGGTTTTCATTGTGCAAACACCTGCTCATCACTCTAGAGTCTAGACTGTTGTTTCAGAGACCATGTTCATTATCTTCACTTATCTTGCCCTGTTATGGTCGTGTCAATAAATAACACCCATACAGTCATAGAAACATACATTTAGTAAATAAGTTTTACTTTGTTGTTATTAAAGACAACAACACAACAGAAACTTGATCACTAGATGCTTTGTGGGTTAACCTACAGAGCAACATCACCAATAAAAATCTCTCACTTGCAGAAGCCTTGGCTGTGGCAGTCTAATAAAAACATTTTAAATAGCCTTTTATCTAAAATATAACTATTTCAGTTGCTTTTGAAATTGCAATAAATTATTTTTAAATAGCTGATTCCTGTGTCCAGCAGTCACTGTGGAAGAGCCGAGATACACCCTGGACAGGTCCCAAGTCCAGACACAGAAAGGCAAATGTGACAAACAGGACAATTTAAAGTTACAAATAAACCTAACAKGCATGTTTTTATTCTGTGGGAGGAAACTATCTGGAAAATAACCTGCATRAGCAGGAAGAACATGTAAACTCTGAACAAACACAATAAAGCAAAACACAGCTATTGCCCAGCTGTTGGGAGCTTAAATGATAAATCTCTGTAATAGTAAATGATAGGAAACTTTTTCTATAAACCTTTAAAAAACAACTAMTTCAAATATTTCATGCAACAACTAATTTGTTGTGACTTCAACTTTATACGTTTTCTTTTAATTTTGTAACATAATGTCAGTCTGGCTATAACAGGAAGAAAAGACAGAATGTTAAATTACCTTCAAGTGACCCTGTTGAGTTTACAAAATCGAAAAATGAGGAGACAATTACTTTAGGTCAGTGAAGACTGTGTAGGAAACAAAATTAAGATTTATTTAACTCAGTTAAAATAGTTGCTTTAGTTAAAGATGTAAACTTCTGAATTTGATCAGTTTCATCTCAGATATTCAAAACTGTTCTAAATGTGTAATAACGCTGTCACAATTTAATATTTCACTAGCTTTCTTTGTCTCTCTAATATGTTGCTAAACTGACATAAAAAACAGTTAAAATAAAAACTTACAAAGAATGAGTTGCCACTTCCTCCTCAAGCACAAAGTTAGGAGATGGATCAGTGTGACAGCATCCTGACAGGGCAGGTGCTTAAGAAACGCTGCTGATTTTCCTAACAAACACATTGAAGTTCCAGCTGTGAGAAGACTGGTAGTTTATCAGGACGTATGCAAAAATAGGAAAAGTTTATTGGCTTTAGACAAAAACAAACTAGACGTCAGACATCCAGCCAACAGGGTGGCCTCAGAGCTGAGATCTGATTCTTCCCCAAACACAAAGGCTTTTCTTTGACAGAGTTCATATACCAGAATTTATGCTTTGCCTTATGCCAACAAGTTWATATGATTTGTGGTAGTTTATGACAGCAAACTCCCTAACATGTTTTATAGTCATGAACTTGAGATCAGTTAGCGTAATAAATGCTCCTAATTACATCCTTTAGAACTGTGTTTCCCAAACCTGGGTTTATGACACAATTGTGGGTCATGAAGCATCAAGTTAGAGTCCTCGGACTGATCTCCAGAAATCAAATTATGGGTAATAGAAAATATTGGTGATGGAATAAATTTCCTATAATTATAAACCCTTGTTCATTAGGGTTGTTGACAAAGTTTGTATACTCAGACGAGGAGTCACAAGCCTCTGCCATGGATATTTTTTGGTTCAGAAGGTGAAAGGTTTGGGAACCACTGGTTTAGAGAATTCACACTTAACGATCTGGGGTTTTTCCGAGTTGCTTACAAATTTCAACATTTGTTTAAAAATTAATACATGACTTGTTATGTTGGTTAAAGTAGCTTTCTAAACAACAGTTATTCTCTTTACATTAAAAAAGTGAAAATAAATCATATAATTGCATTAAAGATCCACATATATAGGCGTACTAAACCTGGATAAATCAGTTGTACCATTTWCTGATAGATGACCTGATTCTGTTGTTAAACTTTACTGTGGTCTTGCTGCTACAGTATTTCTGCGCAGAGGCTGAATTCTCTGCATCAACAAACCAGTCTCACCACTTTCATGTTGACCACCAGTTTTCCGCGAGGCCATGTCAGATGTTCTGCGAAAATTAGACAAACAAATCTACCAATGTGGCTTGGGTGGTCAAAGACAAGCTCAGTTAAAGATACAACACTGAATCAAAAACTTAGTAGACCTTTGTTTAGTTCTGATGTAGAACTCATTCAAACTTAACCCTAAATCTTTGATGAATCCTGGCATTGTCATCCCATGTGATATTTCATTTAAAAAAATCAACCATCTCACATGGCTGTGTTTTGACTGAAAAACTGCTCACTGTGTCATTTAAAATGAAATAAGTTGTTGTCAGCTGAGACGCCTGGATGCTTTTCTGAATGGTTTCTGGGAGCGTCTTCTGGGAGGAGAAGCTAGACCCAGAACTTACTGGGGGGATAATGTATCCTCTCTGACCTGGTAATGCCTTGGGATCTCCAAGGAAGAGCTGGAGAGTGTCTCTGGGTGAAAAGTGTCTACATTTCTATTCTGGTCTTGTTGCCTTTGCGACCCAACTACAAACAAGCAAAAAAAAAAAAAAAAAACAGTAGTTTAATGATGAAAGAATCATTGGATGAATATTTAGATTGTGTACAGTTACATATACTTTGTTTTCTTCATCACCATTTTAATGTAAGTACTTTACTTACTTTATTTAGTACATCTAAATAAAAATGCACATTATTACTTAAAAATGTATAGATAGAAACAATTACATGGTAAACAGTTTGCATAGACACCTCTGGGCTGTGTAAGCTTGGTGGTCAGTTTTGCAGTTTCACTTGCATCAGGAGGGGGATCTGGCGTAAAAGTATTTCCAAAATATTTCATCTGAGTTTTTTCACTGTAGGAGGGAGCAGCTGAAAGAAAAACAGCAACAACATGATTTCTGAGGATTGCTGAAACTTGTTTTAAAATGATTGTATCATTTATTGTCTTTATCTTCTTTTTGCATAAAGGCTTTYAATCCAACAGATGTTGCTCCAAATTATCTCACTAGATGGCTGTACAACACAAAAATTGTTCAAATAGTCAGCTTGTGGAAGATTTTCTCCTCGTATTTTCATGTTTCTCTTTTCATAAAATAGTCTCATAATTCCAAATAATTAATACAAAATATATATTTTACATATATATGCACCCTATATATGCACAACTGCATGCAGATGCAGATGTGTTGCACAGCTAGTGATCTAATTTGGACTAACATCGATGGTTCAAGAAGGCTTTTTCAAGAAAAAGATGTAATGTTAAAGAGACATGCAACAACCACTTTTATGGTCACAAGTCTGATGCGGTACTGTTGAATGAGAGGTGTGATGTGCTGAACATCCTCAGGATGTGTAAGAAAAAAATTTATTTTAGATTTTGTAGAATTTAAAATGTGAGTTGCATCTTTGTAGCCTCTTTTAAATAACAAACGGTACATTGCTAATCAAATTACAATAGGGTTTAGATTTATAGTGAATTTTTGAAAAGATTGTTTTTAGATCATGGGCTATTCAACTGGCGGCCCGCGGGCCACATCTGGCCTGTGAGTGACCAAAGTTTGGCCCGCCAATTGGTTCATTCATCTCTTAAGCCCTAACCCCCAGTTTTCTACTTTGATTACTCCAAGTTCTTTTGTTGGACATAGACTTGTTTGCTATCTACAGAAACGTCACAGTCTTGGCTACAAGCTGGTAAAAACCATTTCTATGAACACCTAAGACAGTTAAAACTACAAGCAGTTGAAAATAAAACAATGAAAGGGAAAATACAATTGGTTTAAAAATTTGGCAAGTCAGAGATGTCAAAATATTTGTATTTGTAGTAAATAAGAGGCATATGTTTTATTTTTGTTTTGTTTTATTATCACCACCTTTATTATAGGGTTCTGTATGTTGTATTCATGATTAAATGCAGCAAAAAATGTAAATAAATAAATTAAATAAAAAAGTTTAAAGGTAACAGATCTTTGTAATACTTGGTTTAATTACATAATGACTTTAATTGCTGGATATTCGGCCCCTGCGCTGTTGGCCTGCAGTAACTATGGCCCCTGTAGCAGTTTAATTGTATAGCCCTGATTTAGATCCTTAGTCAATATATTACCTGTTGTAGATATCTCAACAACCTAATTTTGGAGAAATGTTTTTGAATAATTTTGAGGTTTTTGCCAAAAGATTCCCATGTTTCAACAAAAGTGCTACTTCTAACCACTGCTGCTACTATTTGCATTTACCAGTAATCAATCAATCCATCCATCCATCCATCCATCCATCCATCCATCCATCCATCCATCCATCCATCCATCCATCCATCCATCCATCCATCCATCCATNTCCATCCATCCATCCATCCATCCATCCATCCATCCATCCATCCATCCATCCATCCATCCATCCATCCATCATCTATACCTGCTTCTTCCTTTCAGGGTCACACTGTGACTGCTTGTCAGTAATCATGAAGTTTTATGTAGTTTTATGCACAAAAATAATAGTGATGTAAAAGTTTCTATGTCAGTGTTCACATGAACTGCTGTTAAATTTTTGATATCTAAGTTGTTTAGATGCATCATCATTCCAATTTTGTCTTGGCCCTGCTTGGACTGAGTTCATTGATTCCATCGAAACTCTTTTTCTCAAAATGCAAACCATTTAAAAACATATTTTTTATTTTATTTTATTCATAAAACAATATATATAAGGCAAAACAATTAATCTATAAAAAAACATCAATTCATACAAAAGTCAAAGATCAAAGAAAAAAATGAAAAAATAAGTCATGAATGAAAAGGAGCAGAAAATAGAAAATATCTTCCACAGGTAAGATGATATTGCTCATAATTACGTCAGTGTCAGTTTCCGAAACGAACTTCAACCAAACTTAATACCAGAATGATTTCTGTTTTGCATGTTTTCCTCTTCAACCTTCCCAGTGGCACCTGATTTTCATTTGTCATTACTTGAAAAAGCAGTTGTTGCTGTGTTTTGTTGTGTTTTTCTATGTCTAACCGGAGCATTTGAATGCATCCTGAAATTTAATCCAACACTTTCTTTTTTGACACAAATGGTTGTGATTTCAACAAATCCCACATTATTTTATCCAGTAGAGATACTGTATGAAATAGTTACTATAAATTTTAAATGTTTTATCATGTATTTAAACACTATGACAGGTACCAATCCCTGACTTTATATTAATCAAACAAAATACATAACTATAAATACAATCAAATATCATTCCTAGTTTTGTGTGAATAATGGAAATGTCTGTACATTTTCTTTTCCTGTAGATGCAGAATTAAGACCCAACAGGGCATTCAAAATTAAGGGATGGGAACAACTTAATTGTTACTCACAACTTAAAGCTCATTGGGTTTAGCTGATACTGGCTTAGTCACCAAAATTCTATGATTGTTTGTAAATTCAAACAGCAGTAGCTAGCTATAGCATTTCTGGCGCAACTTGTGGTCCTTGCTATGCTTTGACTAACCACATAAATCCAAATGGAGGTCTTTCAAACAGCAATCTGCAACAGTTAAATAATTATTTGTAATTATTAACCACTTTTTCGGACTGAACTCTTCCTTTAGGTGAGCTGTTTATGGTTGAAAAACAAAGCAAAAAACTGTATTTTTTTGCCAGTTAGAAATTGCCACATACTAGATTAAAAACTAATAAAATTATTGTTAGTATTTTTACTCATTTTATTGTTTCTTCATGAAATTTCTCAAAGCCCAAAGCTAAGATTTTCTTGTCACATGGCTGTAAGAAAAAGCAACATACATATTTGAAAATCAAAAGACATAAGGATAGCCTCCAGAATGGTAATAAGGTACATACTGTATGTAATGATCCATTTATGAGTGACCCAGTTTTGYAGTTGCCACAATAATTCCCATTAAGTCTTACTCTTTTTTTATGCACAGTCAGATGAGTCTCTGGTTCCTGTTGCCCAGCTGCATGTACCAGAGGGTAGCCGCAGGGTCTTAAATAGAGTGGCCCTGAAGGACCGGCAGAGGAAAAAGTAGATTAGAGGGTCCAGTACAGCATTTAGGGATGAGAGGAAAAGTGTGCTTTCCTTCAGCTGAAAGAAGAAAAGCTTGAGCGTGCAATCGAAGAGAACCGGTCGGGTCTGGCTCATGGTGTACGGAACTCGGGCGAAGTGAAAAGGCACAAAGCACACAAAGAACACCGCTAGAATCAGGAATACGTTTGCATTCATTTTTTTCCTTTTGGTCTCCTGAGGCCTCCGAATTGTTTCCCCTCTTGGTGCCAGAGGTACAGTCCCTTCAGAGCTGTGGGACTTGGTGCGGGAGTAGGACTTGTACAGTTCTTTGGTGATTAGAGTGTAGCATATCAACACAGTCACCAGGTTGACCCAGAAAATCACTTGACAGACATCATTTACCACCTCATGCCAGTATAGCCCATTTTCTGTCTTCAGGTCGCTGCATTTGAAATCAGGAGAAGTCGGAGTTTTACACGTGAGGATCACGTTGGGCAGGCAGAGGATCAGCAGAAAAGTCCAAATGGCTCCTGAAAGAAGTTTCCTCCAGGTGAGTCGGTTAGCRTTAAGACCTTTAAAGGGCTTAAGGGTCTTTCTGCAGCGGTCGATGCTGATGAGGCCAAAGAAAAGGATGCTGATGTACATGGTGAGGTAAAACAGCACCGAGGAGACGCGGCACACAAATACCCGCAGGTTAGTGGTTGCCATGTTGGAGTCTGACAGCACCTGCAGAGACAGAATGTTTATTCTTTCAGGTTTTACTCTTCAACATTCAATTAACCATCAGACTAAATAAGATGCCCTTTTTACACATTACTCTCAAACATAAGTTAAATAGCAATTTACACCAAACCTTATAATCCTTATAAACCCCACAATGAATTGTAAATATGACTCACCTTAAAAGGAAACGTCAGCGTCATGATGACATCTGCAACAACAATATTCTTCAGGTAAATAATGAAGTAAGAGCGAGAGGGGATGTGAAACAACACCCATGCTGCCAAACAATTCAGAGACATTCCCACCAAGAAAAGACAGGAGTAGAGGACAGGTAAAACCACCGTCTTGAAAGCATTATCACGGGAGCAGGATCTGTTGGTGAAGCTGCTATTAGTGGGAAACACAGGGAAAGTTGTGTTTCCCTCCATGTCTYGGTCTATTTCAAATACAAAAAGAGAACAAGTACTGTTAAAATCCCACGAGTCGAAATGATTCAATAACCAAAAATACGTCTCTTTTTTTTCATTAAAAAAAAAACAAGTCTCTTTCTTACAAAAAAATGTTAATCTTTGTAAACATTTATTTTCGTTTGCAATCACAATAAAAATAATTTCTGTAATCAGTGTAATAAAATATACTTACACAACTGTAAAAGCAGTGACCTGTTAGCTTAACGATGTGCATAAATCTGCCCGTCTTCTCAGTTTTCTGTCCAAATGTTCACTGATGTTTCAGTGTTTGGCATGTTTGTRGCTTGTGACAGGAAGACTCTCATTTCTTCTTTTTCTTTCCTGTCACAAAAAAGGCAAGAAACAAACAAACAAAAAAACTTAGTCTAGGATTTTAACCAAATGAATAAAAATATGTTTTTTTCTGTTTTCTAATGACATTTATCTGCATTTTTTTAAATAAAATGTTTAAAATGAGCAGTCACACAGAGCAGCGGAAGCTCTATACTAAACATTGGAACCTTATCATACAGACATGCACTTCCTGTTTTTTTCAATTTTTTTTCTACATTTGGAAACAATAATTGCACAACTTTCACTTTGTATTGCTATCTGTTTTTTGCAACTTTTTGATATTATTTTTATTAGGCACGTTTTAATTCTCTATTTGTCTCTGTTTACAGCCATGTTCTAAAGAAAAAAAAAAACAGTTTTGATTACTCACCCAGTCTTTTTTAAAAATATATGTATTCATTGTTAATTTGCAGTAATGTGGCAGCACAATTGTCTGCTCTGTACAGTATTTGTTACAGTTTTTTTTGTAGTGTTTTCTGATCACACAACACAAAACACAATTTAACTTTACTTAAACATGTTTTCATGTCTASTGGTGGTTGTTGCAAATTTGTATCTGATTTGTGGATAAGATTAACAGCATTTTCAWTTGTATTTATTAACAACTGCCTTGGCCACTTTATTACTGTTTCTTACAGCACAACTCTGACTGTATTGTTTTTCTGGTCATTTTTATCATTGGATCTAATTGCACAACCCCAAATGTATTGTCTGCTCCGAATACTGTATTGAACTGGTGTACATATATTTTATATATTTAATTTTTTTCTTTATTCTTTGTATTTTCTTCTTTTGTTATATTTGATACCCATTGCACCTTTACACTAAAGCAAATTCCTACTCTGTGAACCCTGTTCATTGACAATGGCAATAAAACTGATTCTGATTCTGATATGATATAGATTTATTTTTAAAGTTTTTTTTTCTTTCGGCTGCTCCAATTTAAAGGTGTCACCACAGTGAGCAAAGCACAAAATATTTGGCCTTTTATTTTTTTTTACATCAGATGCCTTTGCTTACACAACCAGGGCTCAAACYTGCAGCATCAGGATTACAATACCACGGCCCTGACCACGGACCTACCACAGCCCATTTCATTTGAATGCAGAAGAAATAACTAATTCCTGAACACAGTGCTCTCTTCTTCTTCTTCTTTTCATCATACGGACCTAAGGGCATTCTGACCCTTCACCCTTGAGTCACCARTTCATGTGGCAACTTTGCAACTTCCTGCAGTCTGCCCAAGACTGGTTTAATCAGCAGTATTCTATCCTTWAGAAAAGGGAAATCTAAAGGTTTCTGTGTGCTTTCACTGGTTTTTGTGGTTTTCCATGTTATAGAAACTGCACGATGTTCAAAATATTACATTCAAGCTCAGTTCCCCCATTCATACATACACATCGCTTCTTGTTCAGRAGCAAACCAAGCATGTTTCAGGAGAGGACTCAACAAATACTTTGCCTGCTTTCAAATTCAACACCGGCTTCTTTTTCTTGTTAAATATCTAGTGTCTCAGATGAATTCTGATAAAAAAAAGGCACGTAAAGATGTGCTTTATGTTTGATTTTAGAAGAAGTTTTAAAATCACACACGAGGGCCAGGTAAGCTCGTTATTCTAACTCTTGTATTTGTTTTTTTTTTAGATTTGCATGAATCGTTTACACAAAAAGCATTATCAAATGATATCTAATTTCACAGTAAACACAGACACGCGATGCAGCAAAGCCTCGCTTGTAATCCTYGTTAGCTCCATCGAAAGCAGACAGGAGAAGTAGAATAACTAGAGCAACCATTCTGATACGTTTGTTGGCAAAACATTCGGCCTTGAGTGTGTGGCAAAGAACAAATAGGGTCTGTTTTAGTCATAAAAGCAGGGACAGCTCTTTCTGTTGCAAACTGCTAAAACAGCACTTGTTAAAAAAAAATTAGACAATGACAGTGTCATTAGCAAGATGGGGTCATTCAAAAGATTATTTAGAACAAGTTCATAACATTTTCACAAAGCCTCACTTCAAAAGATCCTAACTATTGCTTTAAACACAGAGTTAAGAAAATCACTTTGTGAACAGGGAAAAGCTGCTTTCCATGGTGTATTACATAGAGAGTGTGAATCATGTTTAGGAGCCATATGTGGTTTGARCAAATATAAGGCTAAGGGGTAGGTGACAGGGTGAAATCCTGATGTTGGAGGGAAAAAAACATTCACCTAATAAAAATTGTAACAATCGTCCGAAGAGACTGGTTGATGGAAATCCAGGGTGACACAGAACTGTGACACTCTGACCTTTAGCARCAGGCAACAATCCATCATGTTGTCACATGGACAGGTGAAATACAAAACACTGGAATATATAGAGTCAACTAAAAACATTCAGAGTGGCCCTAGCTCGTGGTTTGTTTGTGACTGTGTGCGTGTGTACATTTATTAATGTGTGTACATTTCCTTTGGCAGGCTTTCACATTTGTTCCTCCTTGCATGCTTAAAATGTGGAAGCCACACTTTGTTTCGACAGGGTAAGCATGCTTCTTTTTTTACTTTCTGCTCCTCCGGGTGAGCTGTGCAGTCTTGGTTCCAGGATGTCTGTCTCCCACATGGTTCCACGCTGACAAATCTGAAGCTAGTCAAAGACCAAGATTCCTGAAAATAATGAATATGAGCTACAAAGTTTCTAGCTTTATTTGGGTTAATAATGTAATACAGACAACTGAAACTTGCTCTGTTTTTTTTTTTTGCCTTTTTAAACTTTTAGTTTTGCTGTATGTAGCTGCTTTCTAGCTAGGCTTTTGATATTTTCATTCTGCTACTTTTAATTAAGTCTTTGCCACTTATAGTTTCAAGCTACTGTTTTGCTCTTTTATGCTTGTGCTACTTTCACTATTAATTAGTCTTTGCATTTTCACAAAAAATTTCATTTCCCCAAATTGATTTCTGTATGGCTTCAGTTCTGCATTAAAAATCTGACTCAAAAACATTGTTTTTTTCCTTGTTGGTCTTATGTGTCCAATGTGGGTGTATTAACTGGCTGAATCAAAAGAACAGACTCACACACAAACCCATGACTGGATCCAACTGGCTCCTGGCCTCCTTTAGTGTCTTTTTGGCAAATGATGTTGTTGATTCCATCTCAAGCTCCAGGTTGTTGCTCACATTGAGGGTTTCATGGCAACAGTGTTTATTTGAGTATTGCTAAATCCAAACTCATGTCTGATGTCTGGCAAATTCATCAGCGAATGACCCACAAATAAAAGCTACCTGGCTTACTCAGCTCGACCACAAGTACAAAACCTTTTGTTTTACAACGTTCTGAGGGTTTTGTTCAGTTTGTCACTGAAAAAACAAAATTGATATGTTAACATTTTCTTAATTGTAATGTATCAATGTAAAAATGCTTCTGTTACATTTTGTTGCAGGAAAATTTGCATTTTGTAATAATGAGTAACAGAACAGCATCCCCCAGTGACAGTAAGACTTTACACGGTTATCTCTCTTTATGCCAACAATTTCATGCAGTCAAATTTTTTTTGGATTGCTCTGCCACCTGTCTACTGTAGCATTTTATTTTCAATTTCTCATTTTGGCTGTAATTTGTCTGGCTGTGTCTGGTTGAAGAAACTGGATGGTTAGTTGTGGCAGAGTCTGTCTTTGAGAGGCCGGTCAGTTTGGGACATCAGGCATATTTGACAGGTTTTTGCTGTGTGCTCAGTTAGACGTGCACACAGTGAGCTGCAGAAAGGCCAAGTCATGGGTCAGAAGGTGTCGGTTCAGGTGATTAATCATAGTGGTAAAAGCTGTTCAAAACAATTCATGTTTTTTTTAAATCCTATAAATTTAATATTGTATGTAAGGATAGTACATTCACATTTGAAAATTTAGAAAATATTAACAAAAAGAGATGTTGAACAGTACTCAATCTCTATTATGATTTGAATGAAGTGAGTAGTTATGAGAAAGTACAGATTGATATTTTTCTTGTTTTATTTTACAGGTGTTCTGTGTTTTCTCAGCTGTGTGCGTCAGCTTCTTCAGATTGTATCTAAATTACACATCAGTTTTACTGCAGAGTGGTAAATTAAACCTTTTATTTCAGAAGCATGAAGGAATTACTGACAGCAAAAAGACCTGACTAAACAAATGCAGTTTGCCAAAATTACTTTTCTCCCACAGCCTTTCGTCTTGGGCATTGTCCTGTGTTTGACATAATTTGGCTGAAGTTTCAAAGAATAAGTGAAACGAGTGAAAAAAAGAGGGATTTAATCACAGGAACCCAATTAATTCACAATCACAAGCTAATCAAAAACAGATCATAGACTTCTGTAGTTCCCACCCAGTTTAGTGTTGATCACTTTAGGCCTTGTGATATTTCAACCACACTTGAAAGTTTTTTCATTCTTCAGCTGATAAACGTATTGGGCAGAAGCACCAAGCTGTGTTGTGAAGTAGCCCTGCCACTGCTCATGCAGCCTAATTGGGTGAAATTGGCTCGTTTACAAGATTTCCTTCCACATTTTACGACTCAATAATCAAGAAGTGCTTTGATGTTTTAGGTTTATTCCATGCATACGTGACTGAAGTGACATAGGTTAGGTATACAAAGGTGGACTCTGGAACATTTGGAAAGTCTTTGAGGACCAAAGACCACATCTGCATCCAATCAAATTAACCCCCCACTGAAATGCTGCTACACTCAGGACTAACACGATTTCATTAAAATGTAAATTTAACTTTGCACAACACACAAAAGATTTGTAAACCAATAAGAAGTTTATTGTGTTTCTTTAGATCCATGAGTGTGTGTTTCTGAAACATTTTAATTCATATCAGTATGGCTGATATATAAATTGATGTTTATTGTAGCTTTTTTGCTGATATTCTGTGTCTATAGGGCTTAACGCTTCCCCTTTTCTGTTATAAAAACAGAAAATATGCCTTGGAAAAAAAACTGTACAGTTCTAATGAATGTCAGATATTGCTGTCAGTGCATGATAAGAGATGCATAAATCTTCCACTGAACCTTCTTAACATATTAAATATTTAGTTGAAGAGCTTATGACAGATCAAGGAATCTGAAACCACCATCGCAGACTTGTCAAGTCAAGGTGTGGATTTTACACCACCAGTGGGAAATTCCAGGAAGATCACAGCTATTGACAAAGAGGACAACCTTTTCTACGGTCACTGATGCATGTTTGAGCGTATTTACAAAGTTGTGTGTGGTTTTATTAAAATGTGGAGTAGGTTTGTCATCCATTGGATATTTATATGAAAAGAAGTGAGAGGTCCACTTATTTCTGCTGGGGGCTCTCTGAGATGCAAAACTTGTGGCTTCAAAGAAAAAAAAAGTGCTGGACTCTCATGCAGACAGAGGAGCACTGTCTGAAATCACTGTTGGTCAGCTCCCAGCCGTCATCTCCTGAGATCCCGGCTTCCATGTTCAGGCAGCTAGCATTCTAGTTAAAGTATGAAATTCATACCACAGACCAAAAATATGTCTCACTTCTCTCTGGTTTCCTTAGTCTCTCCACTCTGTAAACATTTGGCTTCTTTTCCTCTGTTTTCTCACTTAGCTTCTTTTTCCCCCTTTAACCGTCAACCAGCATATTTTATTTTTTCCCTGAACAGGAATAAATACAACCAATACTTCTACATACAGTGTTACAGAAATGATTGTATGAGGAATTCAAGTTTCTTATCGGATCACTTGTTAAAGGATCACATAAAGCAAAAGACTATTTGGGTTGTTTCTGCTGCRTCAAGAAGAGAAGTAATTTCTTTTTTAAACTTTTCAGTTATCCCCATTTACTTTACAAATAAGATACAGTATTTTTAACTTCTCTGACTATACACACATTGTTTAAAATAATTACTAATTTATTAACAAATAAAGTGTTGTGTTTGTTTTAAGAAGAGATTCACAACCTACAGAACTATTGGAAGAAACTAGCAAACTCAACTTAAGAGTATTGGAAGCATGCAAAATTTATAATATATATATATATATATATATATATTAGGGGTGCAACAATGCATGTACCCGTATTGAACCGTTCAGTACCATGCTTTAGGTTCGATACACACTTGTATCAAACAATACAGAGTTTTTAAATTTATTTTATCAACTTGTATTCTGAAGATACCCTGTGTTGAAGGATCAGTGGATCTGTGTTCGACTACTCCACCTAGGCTGCATTTTCGAGTGCAATTCCACTGAGAAACTTGCTGTTTCAGCAAGTTTTAATTTTAAAACAGTACTTTTCATATTTAACTTAAATAAATTACAAGTTAAAAAGGGCATGGAAGTTTCTCTTTTTTGTATTGAAAAAATATTGAATCGTGAGACTAAAGTATTGAACCGAACCAAATCATGAATTTTCTGTTTATTTTATTTACATGAGAATGGTAGTGCAACTCTTTCTTTTCACATGTCTAATTTCCAGAGCTTACAAGAAACTGAGTTCAGAAGGAAAACATCTGCCCTAAAAAACAAACAAACAAACAAAAAAAAACACTTCTTCTTTCACTAGAACTTCTAATTCAGTCAGCTACTTTTCACATTGACTTTAAACATTTAGATGTAAAAATGCTATTGGGAACTATGTATGGTTAAAATACTCRCATCGATGCAAAGAGACCTCTATCACTTTCAAAACATGAAACCAYAAAACCATAAATGTAAAAATAGTCTCAGTATGTTCACCGCTGGCRTAGTGGGAGTGATAAACTGTCTTTTTTTGTGATGTAAAGAGCGCACGATGTATTGCGATTACTTTGATTTGTGTTTGATTATTGTTCAGCACACATATGAAAGCACTTTCTACACTTACTTGCAAATCATGAAGTACGTTGCCTGCATTCCAACATTTATGGAAGGCAATTCCCWATGTCCCCATATTTGTCTAGCTCATTTCACACTGCTCAAGAATGGCTCAAAACTTTGGGAAAAATGTTTTTCTTGAGGTCTGAAAAATGAATGGTTCATTGGAACAACATACACATACACAAAAATTGACTAAATTGACAAAACTTCTAGTCTTAAATAAAATGCATCTGTTGCTGCAAATAAATATGTTCTATTTATTGACTGTACACGGTGGCTCATTGTTAATCACAATGGAGTGACTTAAAAAATGTAACAATGTTGTAATTCTACCAACRAATTTAAAAAACATTACAATTTTTGCATAGCAGTGCATTTAAACCTAATAGTCTGAACTATATTTTTTTCTATGTTGTTGCTTGTTTTCCATGAAGTCACAATGGTAAATCAACAACTTGATACTGTTGTCTGGTTGTTCCTCTGAAGGCAACATATAGACATCTTGAAAGTGGGACAATAAAAGCAGCACAAAATCACCAACAGGAATCAAAATCTATTTTGTGGGTCCTGGTGGCTGGAGAATTGAGTRACTGTCTGTTTTTACAGGTGGAATGTAAAACTCTGTTTGGAAAATGTCAGCTTTAGCCAGAGACAAACTTCCCCTTGAGGTGAACTACTGGATAATGAAAATGACTTATTTTGGCAGTTTTTAAACTCAGTTGTAGCTGTGTGTAAAGTTGTTTTGAAATACCTATTTATGCAATCAGTAAAAATAGTAAAAGTGCATCATCTTTATGTTTTATTGTTTAACTGTAAGAAAAATGTAATTACTCCCAAAATGRTCTTCACTACAACAAATGGAACAATCCTTGAGCAAGTTAAAGAGTACAAATACTTGGGAATCTGGTTAGACAGTYCTTTGTCCTTCCGTCACCATATTTCTACGCTACAAATGTCAAATCAAAACWCGGCTTCCTGTACAGAAACCGCTCATCTTTTACRTCTTCAACCAAAAAGCTAATTGTTGAAATGTCTATTCTTCCTTTGTTTGATTATGGTGACACACAATTTATTGCCATGCTTGAAAGGGAAGTCTTCAAAAAATGGATTCAACCTACCATTTCACCATTCAATTTGTTACTAATGCTCCATATAAAACTCACCACTGTCTTTTATACTTTCAAGTTAATTGGCTTTCCTTGCAGTCTCGCCGTAATGCCCATTGGCTTTTGTTCATTTACAAAACCCTGCTAGGTCTTTCACCTCCCTTATTAAATAATTTACTACAACAAGAACCCCCCTCAAGGTACAATACTCATTCTTCCCAACTTATTAGACTGAAAATTCCAAAAACCAAGTCTTTGTTTGGCCTAATTTCTTTCCACTTTGCTGCAGTAAATGATTGGAACTTTTATCAAAATGCACTGCATTTTGGCACATTGATTTCTATTCCTGCTTTTAAACACATACTAAAAGACCTTTTCTCAGGAGTCATGTAACTGTTTTAAAAGATGAATGCACTGCTTACTTGATATGTTGAATGTACTGTTAATGTTGTTGCCCTTTCCCCATTGTGTTTTGAAGTGTTTTTAAGTGTTTTTAATTGTTTTTTCACTCTCAGGCCAACAATGTAAATAAGCAACTGTTCTTAATGATTCGCCTGGTGAAATAAATGTTAAATAAAATAAAAATAAATTTATGTAATTATGTTTCATGTGTATTTATACGCAAATCAGGATAATACAGTACTAGAGTTTTTGTGTGTAACACAATAAATTTATTGTAAGTTCAGAGTTTTTGTATTATTTTTATTACTGTAAATCTGAAAAATACACAAAGCATTTCCTAAAGGATCTGATTTGGGTATGAAAAAGTGGTAATGAAAATCCAAGCATGTACGTCTCTCGTGTAAGACGAGCCTAATGGTTTTTGTGTAAAATCCTGTAAATGCCATTGAATGGTTTTTGTTTTTATCTATTATCATTTCAATTTATCTTTCAGTGCCAATGTAACGTCTTATGACTGCAATAGCATGTCTACAGGCAATAAAACTGTAAAACCTTAAGTATTTTTCTCCAGTCCTTTACATAGTTTCTTCTATATTTGTGCATGTTATGTCTGGTCACAAAAATACACTAGTYTACATCATCTTATAACCAGAGTTTTGTTGCCCTTAGTTGGGATTCACAGTATTTTTTTAATCATCTTCATCACCTTTTTACACTCAGTACTCTCACACTTTAATGGTCCCAAATCCATAYTGGATGGCATCAGAAGGAAGAATGGTGCCTACATTTCAGTTAATGTTGACATCTGTCTCAMAGCACAAGCACAAATGTAACCTTTGAGTCTGTTCCTAAGAGATTCTTGGCTAAACACGTATATCTGCCAGAATCAGAAGCTGTGGGCCTTTGGATGATGAGTGTGCCCTGAGGGTGAAGCAACTCACTTCCCTTACGCCGTCCCCGCTCTGCTGCTGACAAAACTGAATGATCTGGAAGCTCCCAGGAGATTTCTGGCTTTGGGATCCCAGTGGCAGCACAGCTGAGCTTAATCGGTGTCCCCATCATTGTCCTCACACTAGGAGGTGGCCCTGTAGTGATTCTTGGAGAATTAGCAATAACAATAACAGGGACWGTGAGGGATGCCTCCCCGACACTGTTACGAGCCCTGCAGTTGTAGTTTCCTCTGTCATGAAGAGTAACTTCCTGCACAACTAGAGTGCCGTTTTCTAGCAGATGATACTGGCCAAGTTTTTGAGGATGAGTAAGGGTATGACCAGCAGGAACAGTCCAGTAGATTCTGGGTCTAGGACTCCCATCAGATAAACAATGAAGAAACAGAGGTTCCCCCAACATGCCACGTATAATGCCTTTRGGCCTTGTAAGAATGTAGGGTTTCTGCCCAATATTTAAAATTATTAGCTTCTCTATATAGCCCTGGGAATTTTTGGCCCCACAACGATATTTCCCAGAATCTTCTTCATGAGAGTTGAAGATGATAAAAGTCCCATCCTTACGTAGTTCATGGCGAGAGTCAAGTCTGGATCCACTGACGATCCTTGTTCCATTTGGCAAAATCAAAATAATCTCTGGTATTGGATATCCATCAGCAGAACAATTCAGAACTGTGGTTTTCCCAATCCCAGACACAATGCGTTCATTAAAAGGGTTCTTGAAGATTGGCCTTTGAAGCATATTAGTAACCTCCAATTGCACAATCATTACAGCCTCGCCTCCATCATTTCTTGCCAAGCAAATGAACTCTGCTGTATCTGTAGGCCGCACATTATGTATCTCTAGTGTCCCATTATTGTGAACGTTAATCCTGCTGCCAAAGTATGGTGCTGTCAGAAATATATTATCAGGCATAATCCAAGTGACAGTTGGAGTGGGATCCCCCTCAGCCTTGCAGTCGATAAGTTTCCTGGAGTATTTCTTTGCTACATCTTTAATTACAGTCCTGTTCCATCTGTAGCCATTGATGATTGGTGGGTTTTCCTCAATGTCCAACCTATAAACGTTTTGGTTTTCGCCACCAGGATTGCGAGCCATACAAACATACTCTCCTGCATCAGTTGCCTTTACATTCCTGATATCCAAAGAACCATTGACATGGAATAAGTAGCGTTCATTTGATGCTACTATTACGTCATTGTTAGAAAGTCTCCACAGGATTTTGGGTTTTGGCTCTCCAAACGCTTCACAGTCAAAGCGAATATTTCCTCCAGGTTTAACCTTGGCATAGGCCTGGCTTGGAGAATGTATCTTTGGGGCACTTGTCACCACGGTGATATGTACATGCATCTCATCTTTTCCAACCTGGTTCTCAGCATAACAGGTGTAGTCTCCTTCTTCAGATATGCCAACCTAGAAAGAACATAAGATGTGTTGATTGAAAACAAATTTGAAGGCTTACAGTTTGTGCAATGATACCTGGTTTAGATAAAGAGTCCCATTGTCAAACAGGGTATAGCGACGTGTTCGTCCTCCTCCTAGGCCGGCATCAGACTGCAGAGCACTATTGACCACTGTACCATCTGGTAGACCCCAGGAGATCTTTGGTTTTGGTGTCCCTGAGACTTTACAGTCCACGTTCAAGTCATTGCCAAAGGGTATTTGCTTCTTCCTAATGAGCTTAGAATCTATTTTAGCTGGCTTCATTGATACTGCAACCCTCATGAGCTGTAGATCATCTCCAACTGTGCTTCGGGCTACACAGATATAGTCTCCAGCATCTTTATCGCTTACTGGGTTAACAGCAAGAGTGCCATTATCCAAGACTTGAATTCTGCTATTCAACCTGGAACAGTAATAACAGATATTAGGAGACATATTGTATAAACCTTATATGAATTTTTCTGACAAGAACTAGTGTTTAAAGAGGTTGTTATTCATGTAAAAGTTTAAAAAAAATAACATTAGATTTTTTTTATCTTCACACTCTTATATGCAACCAAAACACAACAAAAAATAAATAAAAACAACAACAAAAAAAATAAATAAAACCCATTTCTTAAACTGGTGTTCCCTTGTGAAAATCATGTATCTAGTATTACTTTTGCAAAGTTGCATGTTTTGTTTTTGAAATAATTTGTTTTGGAAATGTTCACTATCATTAAAATAATAAAAAGGTTTAACTTTTGTATACTTTAACTTGGCTCATAAATTTACTGTGCATTATGTGCATGTGCTATTGTATGTATTTATGCCACTTATTTGATTTGTTTACCTATGACCTTGGTCAACAACAGCTTTAGATGGTAGCTTCCAGATGATCCTCGGCTCAGGGTCTCCTGTTGCCAAACAGTTAAGTCTTAACTGATCCCCATAGGACAACTCTGTCATGGTTTGCGATGTCTCTACTATTTGGGGTGGAGCCTCCTGTCTTTCAACAGTTAACGTCACCACCCTTCGCTCTGAACCAGTATTGCTGGTAGCAATACATTCATATTTCCCATTTTCTGCTGAAGTCACATGTTTCATTAACAGTGTGCCATTCTCATACACAGACATCCTTTTTTCACTGGCCCGTTTGTTAGGTCGAAGGACTGATCCATCATGTAGGACCCAGTAAATAGTTGGCTGTGGGGTGCCATGTCCTGTGCAAGGCAGCCACAAGGTTTGGCTCCAACTAACTTTCAGCCGTTGACGTTTTTCCTCAACAATCCCTGGTGGTGCTGCAACTACCTGCAGTTGTACTGCAGCTGTATCAGCTCCTGCTGGATTATTGGCAATACATTTGTAATAGCCCCTGTCATAAACAGACACATGTTCAATGATCAGAGTCCCCTCAGAGGTTACTGAAACCCTCCCTCTCCCGGTGTTTTGCCCCCTAAGTTGGGTCCTGTTAGCCAAGATCCAAGAAATCATAGGCTTAGGTCGGCCTTCAGCTTTACAGTCCATCTCAACTTTGTTTCCTGTATAAGACTTCATCTCTCTCAGTTTTGGCTCCAGGATGCGTGAAGGGTAGKCCACCACCGAAAGGGTGACAAGAAGTTTATCTGATCCATAGTAATTTTCAGCAAGACAGAGATACTGGCCACGGTCCTTAATGTTGGCATTCTGTATGGTCAAGGTACCATTGCTTAACACTTCAAACTTTCCTATTGTTTTCTTGATCAAAACTGTGCCTCCTAATAGACAAAAAGACAAAAAAGGTTATCTTAAAATCATCTCAAATGCAGTCAAATTACTCAAAAAAATAAAAAAACAACTGAAAATAAATAAAAAAAATCACTCATTATGTCACTTTAAAAATAACCATTTGCGTTAAGATCAATCATTTGCCACATATTACAAACATGTTCTTCATGAATCTGAATGTTTTTGTCTCATTCAGCTAAGTATGTCTTCTTTTCATTAAAAATAAATAAATAAATAAATAAATAAATAAATTATTAATTAATTAATTAATTAAAAAACAGGTAATATGACATTTTTCGTACCTGTGGTTGAAGAGAAGCGCTTCCAGGTTATAATTGGCTGTGGGTTCCCAACAGCCTCACATGGTAGGAAAGCATCTGAGTTAGATAAAACAGTAAAGCTTGCTGCATTTCCTCCAATTATTCGAGGCTTGCTTTGCATGGGTTTTGCAGCAGGTTTTAACTGATCAGTACTAGGACTGTTATCTTTATAACCAATTAAATGATTATCGATAGAAGAAATGGTTTTGTGAATTTCTTTGCTGTAYGGAGAATCAATATCATGTCCTTTCTCTGCCATAAAGATGGTCTTAGAATAAAAGRGAATGGTTTTATCTGCACTGTCTCCAGAATTATTACTTTCCACAGTAGGTGTGATTCTCCTCACTGGTGATCTCTGAGTAATTTTGTTGCCTTGTACTGCTGGTTTAATTTTGCYGTGGACTCTGGTTTGAGCAGTTGTATAGGAATTTTTTGTGATTTCTGGCACCAGTGTAGTGGTAGGGTTAAATTTTGATGAGGTAATAAATGGTTTATTTGCAAATAAACCACTAGATGACCAGTCAAATTCACTGTACAAGTCAGTTTCTTTTGATGTTTGATCAATAGAAACAGGTATTCTGTTTTTGTCCTTTTTCTTAGATGGTGTGTACATGGGATTGTTAAAAACAGACTTCAGAGGTTGTGTGGTTTCCTCTATYAAATTTTCCTTTGTTGAAATATCTGCAATGGAAGCTACAGTTGTCCTAAAATTAACTTTTGTGGATTCAGGTTTTCTGAAGGGTCTCCTGCCACGAAAAGGCCTCCTTCTTCGCCCTTGTTGTCGCCTTGTCCCATCAAGCCTTTGTCTGATTACAAATGAACTATCAGGTAATCTTTCAGATCCTGATGATAAGGTTTCATCAGGGATTTCAACTGAATGGTGTTCAACAGTRGGTGGAGAAGGCAGAAATGGTATTTGTAGTAGTGTTTCAGTAGTGGTGGATGACCTGGCGTAATCAGATGATCTTGAGGTAGTTATAGGATGAAAGCTGGGACCTTGTGTTGTAAACTCAAAGTCTGATGATGTTAAGCCACTGAAGWTGTCATCTGCTGAGCTCTCTTTGCTTTGTGTGAGTATGAGTGGTGGCAGAGTCTCAAGAATGGTTGGTGAGTCTACGCTGGTGGTGTACACAGCAGCAGGGGTTGTTGTCACTGATGTAGTTTGAAGTGTAGTTGAGGTTTTGGGTGGGATGGATGGTCTTTTTAGCCTGCTCAGTATCCTTTCTCTTTCTCCTCTTCCAAACAGCCTGTTCCATGGAATTCTTCCATGAATTACTTTTGATGCCTTCGTTGTAGGCCTAGTTGTGCTTGTAATTGGTAGTGCTGTTTTCATAATAAATAAATTATCAATTGTAGGGTTGATTTCAGGAACATCAGCTGATGTTAAAACCTCAGGTCTCTCTGTTTTACTCGGAAATGGATTGGAGCAAACTGGTGKAGTAATGGGTTGATCCTTAGTGGTCACTGTCTTTTTTTTCTCTTCATCACAGTCACAATCTATGAAAAGATTTACATTTTTTTCAGATTCAAGTTTATAGATATATATCCATGCAGTAGAAAATTCAAATGATCATAGACAGGGCRCAAATCAAATTCTGTCTGACACTGAAACAACTCACCTGTTGTGGAGTAACTTGGAGCTGGCACAGAGGTGTTTCCTGCATTCTTTAAAGTTGGCTGTTTGAATCGATTGATGAAAGATTGTATGTCAGTGATCCTGTTGGGTTTAACAATTCTTCTGCGACCGTTAAAGGTCCTCCTGTTGCCTTTTCCTTTGCTGCCCTTGTGTGGAATTATACGGATCTGCTGTTGGGAAATGATGGTGGATCCTGCAGAAAGCTGTAGAGATTTTATTGTCTGGGTAGTGTGGAAKGTGATCTTGTCCTGTTGTTTCTCTGTGGTGGTGATTGCTGTGAATGTAGTCTGGCTTTCTGGGTCTGTGTGGATGATGAACTCCACYGGGCCTGGACTATCATTTATTGGAGTAACATTGGGGTCTGTTGCCAAAGACAGTGCTGACCCTGTTGATGTCTCAGTTTCTGTAGGTTGTTCTCCTGAAAAACTGAGTTGAGTTTCTGGTGCAGTGTCTGTTGTAGTGTGCTTTAGAGTGATTAGATTCACATTTAGAGGTAGCCTGCTGTTTTTTCCATGTGCATAAAGCTCTGTTGTTTCAACATGACTTGGCATTTGTGTGAATATAGGCTTTGTTGATGTAGAATCTGGCTGCATATATATTTCTGTTGGTGTGTTTGTATGTCCTTCTGTAGTTAGTCTGTTATCATTTGGCACAACAATAAAATGTTCTTCTCTATGAATTTCTCCAGATCCAACTTCATTATCAACTGAAATAACTGTWTGTTTTATCTTCTCATTTACAGTCATTAATTTAGAACCATCCTTAGCTTTTTTCACATATTCAGCAAATTTCTGTGGGTCTACTTTTCTGGAAGCTTTATCAAAGACTCTACTACTCCAGATGTTTCTGTTGCGAACTACTCCCCTCCTTCTCTGTCCCAGTCTACCTGGAGAACTTTCCCTGCCCTGTGATCTCAGCCTTGGGTAAGGGCGATCAGAGGTGAAAGTCCTGGATTCTTGACTAGCTCCCTCAGCAGGACTCAAGGAGCTGGTTTCTTTTAAGTTGACTGTGACTTCTGCCAGGCTAGAATCTATCTTTAACCCTGTTACCATCCCCGATCCCTCAGTGTCCAAAGCTGTTGTATCRTCAAGCTTTTCGTCAGACAGGGTCACCTGAGACACAAGCAAATCAACTCCCAGGTAATTAGCAACCAAACACCTATAAAATCCTCTRTCCCTTTCTGTTAGCCCTTGAATTAACAGTGTCCCATTTTTGAAAAYCTTCTTATTCCCTTGAGATTTCTCTAGTACTGAGTGGTCAGGGAGAATCCATGAACTCAAGACCTCAGGACTCCCAACGGAGCTGCAGTCAAATACAAGGCTGTCGCCAATCGACTTTGAGAGAYGGAGACCGTTAACCTCAAACTCCTCCACATCAGGAGAAAGAACTGTTATTCGAAATACGAGAATATCTGCATCCAGGTAGTTTGTAGAAATACACCAGTAAAGGCCAGTGTCTGAAGTATCTGCACCTCGAAGAGTTAGCATCCCTTCAGCAGAGATTATGATCCTTCTGTCCTSACTGGAATAAGGAGCTCGGATCTTGCTTCCATCTGGTAAAATCCACTCYAATAGAGGCTTTGGCTCACCCCGGATTTGACAGCTCAACTGTGCCACACCACCTGTAGTTTAAAAAGTCAGTGTATTTTTACAGACGTTATTAGTTTCTTGCAATGTAATAAAATAAATCTAATCTATTAATCTTATTTTCTCTGTTAAAAAAACACATTTAGTTATTTTTAAAAGCACAAGTAAATCTAAGTGGATGTCAAACTATTAATCAGTCTGTTTAATGAGAATTGCATTTTTGACTCTCACCTGTAATTACWGTGTGTTCTGTCTTAGTTTGATTGTCTCGTTTGATCATGGTCCAAGAGTAGCGATCCTTTTTAAATGGAGTGCTTTCAGCATGCAGGTTGACTAGAGACTGGTACTTAATGTGCAAAGTTGAATAGGTACTAGTGGTACGGTCAAGCTGGAGACTCACTTTCCCCTGCATTAACCATGCAGGAGAGGCTTTAATCTCAGCCTCAATGTTTGTGGTAATTTCTTCCTCTCCATCTTTTATCTGTCTGTATCTGTAGACCAATTCAGGCATTCTGGACAGCATTAAACCTCTTTCCAGCCTCATAGGAGAGTCACTGTAGGTGGCCAGGATCTGCCATAGCTGTTGGATGTGGTCATAGTCAGTGTTACATACCAAGTATGTAGTTATGCCTGTGATAAGCATGGTGACGTTGTTTTCTTCCTCCAYGGTTTGAGTCAAGTTTTCAAAAGCACTGGGCCTCTGGACAGTGCAGGATARACTGGCATCGTTGTGAAATTCATCAGTCAGGTTCATTTGTATAGAGCCTAATGGGGCAATAAAATCCTTAGCAGAAACCGGAGTGAAGTCTCCTTCCTCCAAACTTATGTTTTTCTGCTTTAGATGGGGTTCGATCCAGGGTCTGCTACAAGTGAAGGCTTCACCGTGGAGCTGGGACACAGATCTGTTGTTGTAAGGGGCGGGACTTTCACAGACAGGACACAGCTGGCCTCTTGGATATCTCCTGTCTTGCTTGCATTTTAGCACACCTGGAAACAATTACGAAGTGGTGTAGAGTTTAGTTGGCCATGGGGAGAAAGAGAACATTTACAGTTTTCACAATCTAGGCCAGACAAAACTGGACAGAAAMACACATGAAGCAGAAAAAGATTATCTCCGCGGTGCTAAACAAATGAGTTATGGCTTTGTTTTTTCAAAAGTCAATCCAGGAATACAAGATATAACTTTTGTTATTCTGTCTGTGGTTTTAAGGATTTCCAAAGCTTGCATCAGGAAAAGTTACAGTATATATTTTTTTTCCTGAAGCAAAATTGTACACACTATCAATTGAAAAATTCCTTTTGAACCATTTGCAAACATGATCACAAGCATCTGTTACAATGCTGACACAGCACTTTAATTGTATGAATGAWTTTCACAAAGAATTTATCATCAAAGCTTGTAAACATGCTACAACAACACATATCTCCAAACACACCCGTACACTACTCACCAGCGTGCCTCTGAGCCCACACTGAGAACCACTTCATACGACAATCACACTTCCAAGGGTTGCCGTGGAGGAAAAGGTTCTCCAAGTGACTGCAACCTGAGAAAATATCTGCTGGYAGCGTGGTCAGGAGATTGTCTGACAAGTGGATGGTTCTTACCGAGGACACTTTAAAAACCTGGCTGTGTCTCAGTGTGACAAATGTGTCTGTGTGGAGCTGCTGGAGCTGGTTGCCCTCCAAATGGACCAGWTGCAACTTGGTTAAGCTGTAGAAAGCCTCAGGGCTGATAAATTCAATGTGGTTGTGGTCCAAGTGGAGTCTCAGTACATTGTCCAGACCTTTAAATGTCTCCTTGTGGATTTCTTTTATCCTGTTGTGTGACATCTTTAAGACCTGTGTCAAAGCAATAAAACAAAATGACTCTTAGATGAGATCTCAACTCAAAAGAAGCCTTACAAAGATAATATTAATTGCTTCCTGATGATTCATCTAGGGTCTAGAGTTTGTAGTTCAAAGGAACAATATCATATAAAATCAACTATTTTTTTTTAGCTTTATCCCCTCATCAAACACATGCCCAGAGTATTGCTTTGACTCATTTATGCATGTTTGAGAGCGGGAGAGTAAAAACGACCAGTTGGGCCAAGAACTTCTGCACCACAGAGCACGCCTACTCCGCGACTCCTGCAGGCTATCAGCAGCAACTAGCAAACAACTGGTGAAACTGCATGTGTGATGAGCTCATAATACTTCTCAGTCCAGTCCTTTGCAGATTAAAAAATGCCTTTGAGGAAATGTATTTTCAGATGCCAAGGATGACACGGTTCTTAAAAAATAGTTTGACATCACTTTTGGAAGTAACGCTCTGACGAAAACAAATTTATTTATTTATTTATTTATTTGTGCTACTTTACTGATGATAGCTTTCTGAACCAAAGGGAATTTAACAGTGGACTAATAACAAGATTATTACTAAGGCAATCAATGCAATTTCAACACTCAGAAGGACACAAATGCTGTTGTTGTCTGCCCAGGTAAGCTGAAAAATAACTTCATTCTCACAGGAAGAAGAGGGTATAGATAGTAGATGGATGGGTGGATATGCGTTCCTATGTCGGTATTTATGTCATAATGTACAAAATGTTGATCAAAAATATAACCTTTGAATCCTGCTCCAGATGAATCATACTTTGTATTTTTTATTAGTTAAAGATTTTTTAAAATGAGAACAAACAAAAAGCTCAAAATTTACCTGTAAAGACTTGAGGTCTTTGAAGGTTCTGTCTTCTATTCTGTGTATAGTGTTGCTGTGCAGCATCAGCAGCTCCAANCACGGTTCTTAAAAAATAGTTTGACATCACTTTTGGAAGTAACGCTCTGACGAAAACAAATTTATTTATTTATTTATTTATTTGTGCTACTTTACAGATGATAGCTTTCTGAACCAAAGGGAATTTAACAGTGGACTAATAACAAGATTAATACTAAGGCAATCAGTGCAATTTCAACACTCAGAAGGACACAAACACTGTTGTTGTCTGCCCAGGTAAGCTGAAAAACAACTTCAGTCTCACAGGAAGAAGTGGGTATAGATTACAGATGGATGGGTGGATATGTGTTCCTATGTCGGTATTTGTGTCATAATGTACAAAATGTTGATAAAAAAATAGCCTTTGAATCCTGCTCCAGATGAAACATACTTTGTATTTTTTATTATTTAAAGATTTTTTAAAATGAGAACTAACAAAAGCTCAAAATTTACCTGTAAAGACTTGAGGTCTTTGAAGGTTCTGTCTTCTATTCTGTGTATAGTGTTGCTGTGCAGCATCAGCAGCTCCAACCTCTCAAGCCCTGAAAGGTCAGTTTCTCTCAAGAAAACTATACCATTGTACCTAACAGCAAAGAAACAAAACAAGACATGTCAGATTAGSTTYTTTAATATCCCTTGTGATGAATGTGTAWAGGTGCCTGAAACAGAAATCTTGTGAACACTCTTGGAAAGAACTTTTCAAAACCTCTTGTCAGGTTGAAGGTGGGCAGTTCTAACTGGTTCAGGATGCCACCAAAAACAATAACCCAGCTCTGAACTGTAAAGAGCTGAAGAACAGCCATGATTAAAAGTTTGATTCAGCAAATTGTTGGGGTTTATAGATTTTGCTGGGTTGTGTTTTTGGCCATCTTTTGTTTGGTTTTGTGGTTCTTTTGTCATCATGGTTTKGTTTATTCTTGTAATCCCTCAGTCTCTTTGACAGTTTGTTTCTGTTTGTCTTCGCTTTCTTTTGCTTTCATTTCACACCCGGTCCTGATTTCTGATCATCACAATGTGTCAGTCATTTTCTTCCCCCTGTGTATTATGTGTCTTGGTTTCAGTTACTATTTTTACCTGTTTAGCTCTGGTGTTATTTGTTTTGTTTGTAGTTCTGGTCTGATTTATTTCATTTAGTTTGCTCTTGTAAATAAAGTCATTGCCTGCCTGGTGCCTGCTTGCTTTCTGTTGGGATCTATTCCTTAACAAAAGCAGGGGAAAACTTGTTTGTCACTTGTCAATAAGTTACACATGTCCCTCATTACTGCCGGGTTATCTGTTGTAGGGATTTAACATAAAATATTAATGTTTTTGGGATTTTAATGTTTATGTATGGATGTAACTAAATCTACTACAAAATTCATTTTGTGTTTCTTTTAATATATAAAACAAAACATTATTGCTAAAAAGTACAATCTGTGCATTACACTTTTCAGGAAAAGATTCTGACCTCACCTGTCTTAATGTTTAAGTTTTACCTCTCTGGGAGGTAACAAAAGACACAACTTTACATAATCACAATGTCCTGAGGGTGTGATATAGCTTCAAATTCATTTCAACAAAACAAAAAGATATATATATATATTTCATTTTCTCTTGTATTTGTTTGTAACATGTATGAACTTGTCATAACTTCTTAAAAAGCACAGATGTTGCCAACAATTACTAATAGTGTTGCTGGCCTTACCTTTTCATGCAGTAACAAGGCCACTGTTATTCAAGCAAAGCAGCCACTCACATTACTTTGTGCTTATATTTGGCTTGGTCATATTTTAAAAAGAGGTCTAATCAATCTTCAAAACAAAACTTGCATTCGTTTTTGTAGAGAAAAACTAAAATGTAAAAAAATGTTTTATAAGACACACACACCTGTTACTTCCATCAGTCCTGTCTAGAAATAATAATTCCACAAACAAGATAGACAATCTAACAAGAGCTCCAAGAGTTTATTATAGTCTCCAGATGCTCATTTGTACTTGCAAAGGAAAAGACAAAAAAGCACCTTTTAAAGCCTTCGGGAGACGGGAGCAGTTCTTCAGTATGTGCAAAACAAGAAAGCTCTATTATTTACATTGAGAAACCAGCCAGAGAGTCAAGTTTTTCTTAAGTGTTTCAAACAGATGTCTTATGTCCCTGTGCTCTTTAACTACTGATAACTTGAAAGAGCATCACTTCAAGAATGACCACTGTCCCTTTAAGAAGCATTAGAAATAGTTTTGTCTATGTTACAGCTACAGTAACTTCTACGGCTACCTACTACATTTTCAGTAAGGGGGGTAWTTTACTGAAAATGTAGTAGCTAACAGTAGTTTCTTTATAAGACTCTTATTATTAAGCTACTTGTAGTCTGTGGTTGAAACTATAGGCTGCTATGATTTATATATCAGTCAGTGTRATCAATCCTTCCTGATGGCTTGCAGCTGTACAGTCTACCAAAAGCTGGACAAGAACTCACCCAAGGTTTATTCTTTCCACAGATGGTGAGAAGTGGTCAGGTACTGTGGTCAGGTATTTGAAGGTGCAGTGCACTTCAGTAGGAACATGACAGACACATGATTTGGGGCATTCAGCACATGACAGCTGAACAGCAGYCAGCAACATCAGAAGCATCAGCAGCCACCGCCGCAGGTATGAAGGTCTGCCGTCACACACACTCATCATGCACGGGGCACTCGTGTGGATGGGGCTTCAGTAAGGGGGGGCACTACACTTTGAGCTGAGCCATGACACCCACCTGGAGGGAGAAATGACAACTTGTCACACACTTCCCTTAAAGGGATAGTTTAGATCTTTTAAAGTGAGTTCTGCGGAGAGGTTACACATTCTCTTATTTGCTGTAAATAGTTTTTGAAAGACCACCATTTGGAGAAACTGAGGAAATGCTGCCATCTTAAAACAAATCTTATTAAAAAATAAAGCACATCAGTTTATGTGAATGTTATTTTATAAACTTTYATATTCCTGTACATTTTAAATACATTGATTTACATAAAATTTGATGTTATTTGCAAGTGCAAATCACACTTCTAATATTTCTGCTGGAATATTTGTGTGATGCAAATCTGACCACTCAGTTCAGCAGGTAAAAATAATATTTGCTCATAATCTTTCCACAGAACTACACTTCAAAAGCCACACTATGAAAATGCACTTTTGCAGATAAAAGTAATACACTTTAAAGTAAAAGTTTGAAACTATCCATACCAAAGTGCATTAAAATACCTGTAGTGACTGTTAATTATAGTTTTTTTAAAAATCTAAATTTAATCTCTATAAATGTTTAAAAAGTTGCTGCACAGTTTTTAATATTATCATGCTGATTTCTTTAGTATTTTTTTGTAACAAACCATCAACTTATGCACGTATTTTCATATTTTTTACACATAAATCATGCATAATAACACACTAACTACAGCTRTTTACTTCTGATGTGTTGTAGGAGAATTAGAAAGCTGCATCAAAAAGAATAAAGCATTAATGCTTCAATTCTGTATTGAAGCTCAGTACTACAGGATGCAAATATAGWTTACATTGCACTGTGCATCACTTTTCTGAAGGCWWAAGTATTATCAACACTCAATTTAATCAAAATTGTGCATGCAAAATTAGTGTAAAAAGAAAAACGTKTTCATGCAAGATGTAATTATAAAACATCACAATATAATGTCTCTCACCTTATTTTCACAGTTGAATGAGATAGGCTCGTGTTACATARATCACTGCAAAAATCCAAAAGAAAAGGTTTTCGTTCCACTTTCACTTGCAGTGTTTCTCCAGTTTGATCTGTAAGATGAGTCCGTCCACTGTGTGTGAAACGCAGATCTGGGACCAGAGTCATTATAGTGGTTCAGTGCCTGCAGAGTGCAAACTTGGGTCTCCTCCACCCCCAGCAATCTGCTGTAATACAATCCTGAAGCAACTCCAGCGATGGAATACTCAGGAAGTTGAGCTGCACAAAAAACAAATAAATAAATAAAATAAAAAATAATAAAAAAACACATTTTATAATGTTGAAGGCTAACAAAATACTAAAATAATCCTTTGCAGGATTTTTTAAGGGAAAAAGTGAATAACAATCTGCTGCCAGGAGTAAAATCTGACTCGAGTGATAAAGTTTTAGAAAACAATTGAAAAGAAGCAAAGATTCACTAAAGTATTTTTTGATTTTCTTTTTATTCAGTTTGGATTTTATATAACATTTTTAATGGAGCTTGCCAGAACTAAATTGTAACCTGATTAGAAACTTTTTTTGTGCATTATAGGCAGATGTGTCACAGAWGATCTGAACAACAGATGACTTTGTTTTGTCTTATTCAAAAGTACATTTTATTTAAATGATAAACTGCTGAGCAAGAGCCAAGGTTTTTGTCATGTATACTATCCTTTTGGGATGTTTTTGTTTTTGTTATGTGAGATGCAAAGAAAAGAAGTATTTAAGTCATGACTAGTAAATAAAGAATGTGTGAAACTGATCAGCTGCTATACATTTTGATGAATTATTATAACTGAAGCCTGGTAATAATTTGTAGATGTATGTTGTGATTTATTGGTCACAATGAATACATAATATTTTTACATATTTGACCAAAAACCCAGGACCCCTGTTGTTTTAATCTWCTCATAAGACCAGTGATTTATCAGTTACTTCATGCTGCAGGCAAGGTTGGAAATGAGCTCTGGCTTGTGTTATTGATGTTTACTTGCACATCTGGATGACACACCAGCAGATGTTGACAACAGCACTTCTTTTTTCTTCTCTTTGATTTTCCACACTCTCCTCTTCTATTGGCTTATGCCCATCCATCCATCCATCCATCCATCCATCCATCCATCCATCCATCCATCCATCCATCCATCCATCCATCCATCCA